CTTAATAATCTTTGGTCACTTCAAACCCAATCAATTTCTACTGCCCTTTTAAATCAATTCAACAACAACACACTTTACAAGAACATTTCAACTATCAGACTATTTCAATTACAATCACTTAATATGTTAGCTACTTCACCTTTGGATTACTGGCACCATCCATTCACTAGTAAATCATACAAAAATTTAATTGGTGCCTCCCTAAGTCTAATTGGTCATAACTCCCAAAAACTTTCATGCATATGCTCTCCTATTCTCACAAACCAGATTGTGGGAGGATCTATTTCACTTTACAAAATCATTCCTTTTTAATGTTTTCACCTGTCATCATTACATACTAAAAAGTCATAATCTTTTCTATCTAGATCAGTTTACATTATTTACAGGACGTCACCTAATTAATTGGACTGACTTTTTATATAGAGACTTCAATCATTCTACTACTAAAATACGTCATTCAACATTTATACCCCTTTTGGAATCTTTTGTATTAGAAAACCCCCAGATACACTTCTCAAAGAGGAATACTTTCTAGATTGTCTTCCCAACTATCTCAATCTAGCTAAACCTATAATGCCAGCAGACAGAAAGAAAAAATTCATTTCTATCTGGGATCCATCTAATATTACACTTGTTTTCGGTCAAATTGTTAGTAAAAATATTAAGCCTGATGAGTTTATCATTCAACATTACATCTACTCCTCTGAGAATAATATTGGAAGACTCGTCAAATGTGACGGTTGTAATAGATTTCCATCAACTCCATATTATGACTTCTGTAATTTTGCCATAGCTAAACATAGAGTTATTCAAGTTCTTATCACATCAAATTCCGCTAAAACAATATCTCATTAACTTAGACACACCTTGCATGAAATCACTAGAGTTGCACAATCTTATTCTATCTGTATCATACCTAATACTCTTCCTCGTTCTCAAGATCTTATTGAACGAATTTTTCCTAATTCCTCATTTCACGATCAACTGCAATCCATTAATTCAGAAATTTCTAACTGTAAATTTTTATCATTTTATACTGACGGTTCTC